GCCTCCTCCTTGCATGCCACCGTCGCGAAACACCTGATCCTCATCTTCTGTCTTAGACGCCCCACCCCGGGTACCCCCCTCCAAAAACAACCAGGCACTTCTGGAACTTGTCAGGTGGCTTTGGCCTCGGGGAGCAGGGGTATAGCACTTATCTTTTAAGGTAAGCTTAGAGCGAGGGTCGGGGTTCCGGTCCCCTGGGACCTTACGTCCCCTCTGTTTAATGGAATGAAAAGATCCTCTAAGATTTTTACTTTCTTATTCGCCTAAGGAAAGGAGAGAGAATGGAAGATGGAGAAGAGAATAGCAAAAACCATATTCATCATATACATTGGGTGCCTTTTTGGCGTCCTGCAGTGTGCGGGTTGTCCCATTTAAGGTAGAAAGACGCGCAACTCTCACACGCCCTTCAAGGTAAACGTGCAGGAGGATTTGAACAAGTTTTTCATTGGAAAAAGCTTCCACTCTACAAATCTGGAGCCCCAGTTGCTGCCATTTTATATTAGGGGAAAACTGGGAAACCTCATAGGCATCTCCAAACTTGGCCTCTCAACTGAGTAGTCAATTTGCAGGACATAGCAGTGATGAGTCTGTCCTGATGAGTCTGCTTGGAGCAATTTCAGTGGCCAGCTCTAAATGCCTCCTGCTGGGAAGCTCAGACAAATAAAACAAAACCAGCCATGGGATGTTTGGGTGAGTGGAGAAATTAGTATGAAATTAGTTCAGTCACTAAAGGATGACTCCTTCTCTTCCCTGGTGTGATTTCAAACATTAAATGATTCCTGCACCGGAGATGGATTCTGAAAGACAGGGATGCCTTCCTGTTCCTGCCCAAATCCCTGTTCCTTATGCCTTCTTTTTATATTCAGTGGCCCCAACTCTCTTTGCCTTCATCCTCTTCTTTCTTCCCATCACCCACAAATCAGCACTCATTCTTCAGGCCTGTGATGCTTCAGAAACAAAACCTAACTACATCTATTGTGGTTAGTTCCCATGTACATCCTTTACAGCCTAGGCTCCTAAAGGCTTTTTACATGTAAGAACTTTGTTGAGAGTCTTTTGGAAATTCCTAAAGTGCCTTGTGATCAACTTTTTTTTTTGAATACTTTCTACTTCTGGGCATTTACATCCTCTGAACTTCTCTCACAAAAACTCTTAAGATGTTTACTGTCTTTCAGAAAATTTCAGATAACATATTCAAGGTGACCTTGTTACAAATTTATTTACATGCAGTGCCTAAGGTTCACTCTTGTTGGCCACTCTTTCTCTTTTCCTTTGATCCATGTGTTCTGAATTTTTAGATTTCAGAAGGACAATGTTTTACACACACACACACACACACACACAGAGGTAGGAGTATAGCTCGGTGGTAGAGTGCTTGCCTAGCATGTGTGAGGCAGAATTTAATCCCCAGTACTGAAAAAAAAGGGACTATCTATTTTATAAATATATATGGAAAATGACTGATGGTTCCCAAGAGATTTATTTCAAATTAGACCCTTGAAGCAGAAAATATTAAGAATACTCACTTTGAATACAAAGCAACTTTATGTAGTAGGATGAGGACTAGGAGTTTTGGAGATCTTAAGGAAGTCATCTTTATCCCTTCTGGGACTTAGTTTTCCACCTGAAAAACTGAAGAGTTGAAGGATCTTAAGATCTCTTCCAGGTAACACTACCTAACTATATGTTAAAATACACACACACACACACACACACACACACACACACACACCTCAAAAAGCTAACAAGTAGCCATTGTAAGATTTCACGCCCAGACTATGTCAACCAAGACCATGACGGCTAAGTTACTTGGAGATAACATCCAAAACCCTTGCCCAAGAAGCTGGTGGGCAGAGAGTAGATAGCCATGTAGACAGAAACAAGATTCCTAAAGAACTGAAAGATTTGACTATAACAGCTTACTTGAAATCGCAATGTGGGTCTCTAACCAGCCTCTCAAATTGATTTGTCAGAAACACAACTCTGTTTTTATGCACCAAGCCTCTTCTCTCCCAAGGTCACACGTCAAGTTATTGACATCACCCTTCATCCATTTGCACAAGCCCACAATGATTCCTCGTTTTGCTTATCCCATACATCCATACCATCAGCCAGTTCTGTCAGCTCTGCCTTATCCTGAGCCAAGCCACTTCAGGGCCTGAAGCAAAAAGAAAACTATGTACCCCTACATGTTTTTTCTTAAACCAAGCAGAAAAGTTAATAAGTTCTACAATGAAAAAACACCATTATATATAAGGTGACTTGTTCAATAAGTTATCCCATCATTGTCAACCTTTATAAACTTGGGAGGGGATATGATGGCTAGGTGGCCCTGGAACCTAGCACTGATTGAAAACAAGTGTTCTTATTACACAGTGATACAGGGTCATAAAACAAACAACCATCTGTCTTTTTCTTTCTTTCTTTCTTTCTTTCTTTCTTTCTTTCCTTTTTTTCTTTCTTTTTTTTTTGTCTCGCCTGTTGTGGGTTTTCTGCATTCATTTTGAATCCAGTAAAAGCAAAAAAAGGACAAATACTTACATGACATATATTATGTGCCAGGCCCTGCTCTAAGCAGGCTATGTGTATTAACTTACTTATTTCTCACAATCATCCTGAAGATACCATTATTGTGTGCACTTGACAGACGAAGACAGATGAAGCACAAGGTGGAAAGGTAACTTACCAAGGCCACTCAACTATGAAGGTAAAACACTGAAATTTGAAGCTAGGAAGTTTGTCTCTACAACCAAGAAGGTAAAATCAACTGAACTTCATTCTGCCATAGGACAAGAGATGGAAGTACAGAATGCTCCTAGAAGTCTGATTGGACAGCTGGATGGATTTCGTACCCTTCACTAAGATGGGATATAAAGGTAGGGGGGTAAGAAGTATAGTTTTATAGAAAATGTACAGATATTATGGGAAATCTTGAACAGTTTGGGGGTTCAGTTTGGGACTTTTAGGACTAGAGATTTCAGAGACCATGTAGTAGAGATATCCAAAAGAAGGCTGTCTCAGTGTGCTTTGAGGTCAGACAACATACATGATGAAGACAGTCTATGGCAGTCATCACATTTGATAAATAGTCCTGAGCATTCCAGAGCAGTCATTAGTGTCCACAGGAAGAATCTAGTGAATGCGAAACAAATTTCCTAAACAACTTACATTTACCTGTCCTGAGCCATGGGGTCGTTAACCACTGAGCCACATGCCCAGACCCCTTTCATAATTTATTTTATCCTTAGTACCTCGCTAAGTTGCTTAGTGCCTCAATAAGTTGCTGAGGCTGGCTTTGAACTCGTGATCCTCCTGCTTCAGGGTCCTGAGCTTCTGAGATTACAGGCATGCACCACCATGCCCAGCAGGGAAAGTTTTTGAAAATGTTTTTAACTTTGCATTTAAAATTGTTTTACCAAGAATAATTCACTTAATTCACTTTTGCCCATAATCTTCAAGCATACTCAGGAATTATTATGAGGTAAGAAGAAATTTTCACCTACGGTTGTTTCAAATGGAAGGAAATGTTTGTAAATATGAAAAATCATAAAGCTATATTTGTAGACATTTATGATTAAACATTATTCATTGCCAATTTATAGTCCTGTATAAATCAGAATCTTTCAGGGGGCTATAAAAATGTTGATTAATGTCACTATTGGGCTGGGGCTGGGGCTCAGTGGTAGAGCACTTGCCTAGCATATGTGAGGCACTGAGTTCAATTCTCAGCACCACATATAAATTAAATAAATAAATAAATAAAGGTTCACCAACAACTAAAAAAAAAAAAAGAATTTAAGAAAAATGTCACTGGTGCAGCCAATATGGAAAGCAGTATGAAGATTTCTTGGAAAATTGGGAATGGAACCACCATTTTACCCTGTTATCCCATTTCTTGGTATATAACCAAATGACTTAAAGACAGCATACTATAGGGACACAGCCACGTCAATGTTTATAGCAGCACAATTCACAATAGCTAAACCATGGATGGAACCAACCTAGATGTCCTTCAATAGATGAATGGATTAAAAAATGTAGTATATATACATAATGGAATATTACTCAGGAATAAAAGAGAATAAAATCATGGCATTTGCAGGTAAATGGATGGAGTTAGAGAAGATAATGCTAAGTGAAGTTAGCCAATCCCAAATAACCAAATTCTGAATGTTTTCTTTGATATAAGGAAGCTCATTCATAGTGGGATAGGGAGAAGAAGCACAGGAGGAATAGACAAACTCTAGATAGGGCAGAGGAGTTGGAGGGGAAGGGACGGGGCATGGGGTTAGAAATGATGGTGGAATGTGATGATCATTATTATCCAAAGTACAGGTATGAAGAGACGAATTGGTGTGAATATACTTAGTATACAACCAGAGATATGAAAAACTGTGCTCTGTATGTAATAAGAATTGTAATGCATTCCATTGTCATATATAAATAAAAACAATTTTTAAAGTCAATATTATTTAAAGTTATGGAATTTACTTAGTTTCTTAATTTCAAATAACCTTCTATTTTCTGATTCCAGCTACTCATGAAGTCTGCTCACCCTTGTCC